AAACCATCAGAAAATACATGTTGATTCAAATATCCCTCCTGCAGATGACTCTTTCTTAACAACTTTTTATTTTAATCCTTACTTGTAATTGATTTCATCATTTTTAACTTTTTGTATTTTTATCTTATAAATATATTGGGTGAAGGCTTTATTATATCAGATTTGTTCCTAAAAAGGTTTTTACTATGTTTCTTTAATGTGTTAGCTTTCAGGTTCAAAGAACTCAACCAAGAGGGACAGTTAGAGCATTGTATTATCATTAGTTTGTATATTTTGGTATCTTACTTTTGCAATAAAGAACAGTTAAACATAAGATTTGACATGATTAAGGTAGTTTGTATATTTTTCATCTTGTTTAGTCTAAAAATGAAACCTTTTTCATCATTGGTCCTTATAATATCAAGTTTCATCACATGGACTTCCTGATTACAGTGATTATTGTCCTTATTATAAGGTTCTATATAGATTTTGTTCAATATTTTAAGGTTTCGAGAACCTAAATCAGTATGAATCCTTGAATTACATACCATCGTTGAAAATGTTTTAATTTGTGACCAAACTTGGTTTAAGATCACAATGAACAAGTTGACACTTGAGTATTTTGGCCTTCTCAAAGGCCTATTTATCGACTTTTGAATCACAACACTTGATATTCTAAAGGTTTATTTTTATAAACTATTATTTATATATTTTAGCATTTTACTTAGTAGGAAATTAAATTAATAAAGGAATTAAGGAAAACGAAAAAAAAAAAAAAAAAAAAAAAAAAAGGACGATAAACAGTACAAGTGGTTTGGGTATGTATAAATGAAAGTAATAACCATTTAGGGGGTGTTTGGCAAAAAAGCTTATTGCTTATTAGTTTATTAGCTTATAAGTTAATAAGTAAGTGTAGGATAACTTATGGAAAAATGATGTATTAGAGGTTCTCCACCGGAATAAGTTATTTTAATCCAAACACTTTTTTAACTTATAGTGATGTGGAACCTAATAAGTTGTTTTAAAAAAGCTTAGCCAAACACCCCCTTAATATGGTATGGTAATGCTCTTGAAAAATAGATATCATTTAATATTCATTTTGTCGAAGTGAACGCAAAATGGTTTTAACTCTAAAGAGATCAAATTATTCGCCGTCCGCCGCTTTGCGCGGGTAGACGGCTAGTATGTGTATATATATATATATATATATATATATATATATATATATATATATATATATATATATATATATGCTTAGATTATTTTGTTTTTACTAACTATTGTATGCCAAAATTCACAGATCTAGACCAACGGATGCAATTAATCAATGGATATTATTTGAGAGTGTATGATACTACAATGGGATAACATGTACCATATAATCACAAAAATTTTAACAAAAGGGTATTTTGGACAATTAACTACATTTATAAAATGAAATTTTCGGATTTTTAGGGATAATTAATTCTCTTAATTTTAAAAAACTATTTTTTTTAATTAAATCAATTTTAATTTTAACGTAATTTGTAAACATAACCGATTTTATTCTGTCAAAATATTTTTTTTGTTAGAATTATGTTCTTTCTGAATTTTATTCTATTAGAATATTATTGAAGAATAACAAAATTCCCGAATCTGAGGTTGAAAAATAACAATAATTCTGATATATTCTTATACATCCGAATTTAAATACAAATTCATATACATAAATATATATATATATATATATATATATATATATATATATATATATATATATTCTTACAGACCAAAAGTTTTATACATTTTAATATAATTATACATATATTCTAAAAGAATATCAACAAAAATAAATAAAATTCTTAAAAAATAACAACATTATTAAATTGTGAGTATGATCAAATTTTATTCATTCTTCAAGTTATTCATATTAGGTCTTCAACGCATTCTTCCAGTCATTCATATCACAAATACAACAAAAACTAATAATGGTTAAAAACATGTTACTTGCAATTAACTATCACTTTATATATTTTGGTAGAATACATAGAATATGACAGAATAAATAGAATACATTCTGGAAAAAATACGTGGATTTTATTCTTGCAGAATACATTTTGACAGAATCTATACAATAAATTCAAAAATATCATATTTACTGCTAATATAATTTTAGATTCCAAATATACCGAGGGACAATATAAATTGGAATTCAAAATCACAAATTGAACCGAAATAATACACAAACAAATTAATTACCTTTTTAAACAATTACATAAAACATGTGTTGCTAGTAATTCTGGCAGAATGCATACCACAAGATTAAATTCTTTAGATTTTTTTTCAGGCATTTCAACGAACACTTGTTACGCATTATCATCAAACAAACCAAAATACATCTAAAATAATTAATGAAGTTAGAATAAGAATGTGGGTGCTAGGTGTGTATCAACAAAGACTATAATATAATTAAAGAATGTAATATAGAATTAAAGCATCAAAAGTAGATATAGTGATGGTATTTTCAAAAAGTATTATTTAAATCATCATCTAAAACATAGCAATATCAACAATACCATAAGCAACAATATTTACATTAATAGATAAAGGAACAAAACAATCATTAAATCAAGAATATAGCAATAATTTAATACTCATATTTAATTACTGTGATTTCAATCGTTTTTCTATAAAACGCATACCATCATATAACTTTATTTATGAGGCTTTCAATTGTTTTTCTATAATTCGCATTCCAAATTAATCTGTTTCATATGACTGTAATAGCAATATATGGAAGCATTCAATTTAAATAAATGAAAGACTAATCAAAAAGAAAAAAAAAAAAAAAAAAACTTACAATTCAATTTGGTTTCCTGTAAATCAAAATTGGAAAAATAAATAACAACGATTTTGGAAATCAGAATTGAAAAACTTACATCTGTAAATCTGCATTTTCCAGAATCAATATGGAAATGTTGTAAACACCCCCAAAACGTTATGCAATTTACTTTCTTTTTTATATAAAAGTGGAATAGGTGAAAAGTGAACATTACAATCTATAAATTTTAGTTTGTAAATAGTAGAATCAACTTATTGAGAGACCAATTTGACAATTCCTAGGAAAAAAAACTTACGTGAAGGTGAAGTTATGTGTCGCCGTTGAAGCCACAAATAGGTGGTGGCTAGAAAGCAGAAACATGAGGAGTGGAGGTGTGGGGACCTTTGATAGAGCAGTAATGGTGGGGATCGTATTCATAAACATCAAAAGTGAATAATCAGAAATCGATTAGCATTTTATTCTCAAAAGAAATTCGATTGAAAAAATCGAAAATTGAATTTAAAATTAGAATTGAGTTGAAAACATCCTAGGGCCAAAATGTTGGTGTACGGTAGCGGCTATGGAGATATTTCGAAAATGGATGATTGATCCGACAATGGAGGGGGAGGAGGAAGAAGAGGCAGTGTCGCAACGGCGAGATACTGAAAGGCGTTGATGGTTCATAGGTTTTAAAACTGATTTCACAAATTTAAATAGAAATTAAATAAAGTTGAATAAATATATATTAACATAAATATAGGTACAAAATCAAATTAAGTTACCAAGATTATAGGATTGTATATTAAATTCAATTAATTGATTTTATAAGCTATTTACCAAATTACCCTTATTGATTTAAAATATTATTTAATATTTTGCTAATTTGTGATTGGTGCATACATACACACAATAGTTGTAAGAAACATTTGAATCTCTCTCTCTCTCTCTCTCTCTCTCTCTCTCTCTCTTTATCTTTACTATCTTATAAAAGAAATCTAACTATTTCTAAAAATAGATTGATTATAATAATAATATTTTTTTAAGACGTCCAAATGATGAAGCTGATAGTACAAGTAATCATTAATAAATTAATATTAAATTTTAACCATATTTTGAATTCAAATATTTATCATCAAATCTCCTTATATTTCTCAACAATTTGATATGGTTTCCTCAAATCTCGGATTCATTCAAATTTTGAACCCTTTTAGATATCCTTAAATTTAGCATGTGGATTCAAATATCCCTCCAATCGCATATACCTCTTTACTCCCTCCTCTACTATAAAGTCCACCGTCCAGGAACAAAAAATGACTTCATTTCCCAAATAACACCATAGTTTGATTATTTTGTCTTCGACGTGTACTTTCTTTTGTAACATAACATTTTTGTAGAGGAAACATATCACTAAAAGAATTTACACGCCCCGCCGCTTTGCGCGGGTACACTGCTAGTATATATATATATATATATATATATATATATATATATATATATATATATATATATATATATATATATATATATATATATATTAACCGTAGACCCACGCAAAGCGGCGACGAAAAATAGTTTCTCATTCGGCAACAAGTTCTATACGGAAACATGTTAGATTTCAAGTAACACAAAACATATGCATATTGTTATCGATCGGTTTTACGGCATCAAATCAATGTAACCCTCGGAATATAAAAGAAAATAAATATTTTGGTGTCTAGTGTACGTTTATAGTTCTTCATTTTAGAAATCAGGACACATCCATACGAAGTGACTTGCTTATACCTTTCTTTTATCTAGCATCCATCACAAGAATTTTATTCATAATGAAATATTTTATACTTTTATTTTTATATCTAAGCCTATATTTTAATACATTATTCCATGCATGATATTGACTTTCATAAAATAATAATTGGAGAAATACAAATATGAAGAAAAAAACAACAAAACTAACAAGTAATAACTAAATAAAGTAATAAATCAAATAATATGTATCTAACAAAAGGTATTATTGGAAAAATAATAAAAAAGAATAATAAATAACTACACCTTTCAATAAAAGATAAACTTTAGATATGCATTGCCTTGCTTGCGTCATCACTCCAACATAATTCGGCTTAACATTAGAGGGGGCAGTGATCCAATAGTCTCCATGTAGTATGGAGTTGAGGCTGGCCAACTTAGCCTCCTCAATGCCGTTTTCCAGCCCATTCCCATCAGCCTAAAATACATAAATATCCCAAGAAATCTGAATCAACACCCCTTCCTTAAGCTCCCCTTTCGCCAACATAGCAAGATCCATACCCTTCCAAGAGAAAGCTATGTTAGAAGTAGTACTATGAGTCTATGATGATATCAGTAACATCTTCACTTCTACATGCAAAACAATATTATCTATTAACCAAATTAATTAAAAAATTAAATAAATGATTCACAAGAACATATGTTTTACAGATATGGATAAACATTCCTTGAGCTCTCTAACAATGACATGAAACATAATTCATGCTTATTAGTAATATAGCTCTAAAGTAAAAATTGGTTTCCAATTTCATTAATACCAACAACAAAGTGTTAAGTCAGCAAGTGTAAATCTAACATTTCCTTAGGTGGGATAGGTTTAGGTTGTTTTTAATATGATTATGAGTTATGGAAGCTTACATCCATTATAGTGATTAGAGAATCTGAAAGAAGAAGAGGTCCCACTGATGCAACATCACTTATTAAAGTCAATCTGGAAGCCAAATCCCCCCAAGGTCTCAACCTGCAGGTTTTATATTTTTAACATATTTATTACAACATAATTACTTTAAACTATTGATTTTTTTTTCAAATTATTAGGAAATAATTCAGTATGTGTGTTTATAAAAATCACCTATGCAACAACAAAGTCCACAGAATCAGCAATAAATGGTTCATGTGGACCATTTGGGATTCCTGTTATGACATACTGTTTCAACAGGAAAGAAGGGGTCTAACTAACAATGTTACATAAGGTTAAAATAGTCATTTACTCACAGTTCATTCAATCCAAAAAAAGACTTTTGTGTATAATTGTATATAGAAAGTGTCATTTTTTATGATACGTACACACGGGCCCAAGGCATTGCAGCTAAGAAATATTTTGTATCCAAAAATGCATTTGAAAGGATCAAAGACTTTACTCTTCTTGGCCTATGTTGAGCAAAAAGTAGTGCTAAAAATCCACCAAGTGATGTTCTATAAAGATGTCTATCAAAAAAAAAGATTCATTAGATAAATAAATAACAATAACATCAAAAATGGAATCAGATAATCTTATATGGTGGACATCAATAACATCTAAAAACTTCTCAAATGCTTGAACCCATTCTTGATTGTTCCAAACACGAGGAATATCAACAGAAATCACTCGATACCCCTGAAAAAGAAACAAAACAAAAAAAAAAAGATTTCTGAAAACTTTGTTATGAAAAAGAATCCTTCAACTTGGTTTTTGTCTTTAACAATGTTAAAGTTGTTGTTACCTTCATGGAGAGTGCCATGATTTGTTTGTAGTAAACATATGTTGTTCCAGCAGTTCCAGGATTCATAATATCTCCATTATTTTGTGCAAATCTGTAAAATTTATGTCAAAATTAATGTCCATAGATGTTATTCTTATATCAATTTGGATGTAAAATCTAATATCAACATTTTTTCTGTTTATAGAACTTGCTATAAAGATTAATGCTTTATGCTTGTAAGTAATACACCAATCGGACAAATTAGCCAATTTAATCTCAAAAGTTGAAGTATAGCTCCAGTTTAATGTGAATTTCAATAATTTTAGGTTCATTGAGAGTAAACATCGAACGATTAATGCTGAATCGAAACTGTAAATAGGGTTTAGACATAATGAAAGTAACAATCGATACCAACTAAACCAGTGATTTATCGAATTGGGTAAGTCAATAGATGTATAATCAAGTGAAAGATCGACGAAATCTATGACCAGAAAAACTTACTGGGATCTTGCGGAGAGGGACTTGGGACTTGAAGTAGATGTGATCATCGGGCTCTGAAAACCCACCTTTCATTGCTAAATTTGACGATGATCGTGAAGAGGACGACTAAATTTGGTGGCCATTAACAGAGAGATTCATGTTATTAATTGTTGATCGTAGGTGGGTTGAGGTTGGGGTTAAATTTTAGGAATAACAAACAATAGAGAGAATGGTGTGCCAATGGATAGATATATGCCAAGATTTTAGGAATAAGCATTGACTCAAACCGGAGATTAAAGAGATCAGGTCAAATTTTTGAAAGATATAAGATTTCAAAGGTAATCAGATTAAAATTTAATATTATTTTATTCATGATTAGTTATACTTTACGTTTAGAGAGTTGAACGTCTTAAAAAAATATTATTATTTTATTAGATCTATTTATAGAAATAGTATGATTTCTTTTATAAGTTAGTGTGTGTGTGTGTGTGTATATATATATATATATATATATATATATATATATATATATATATATAGAGAGAGAGAGAGAGAGAGAGAGAGTGAGAGAGAGAGAAATAAACTTATATCATTTATTCCAAGTCATCATCTCCATTATTTGACAATAAACTTATAAATTCTAAATTTGAAAATAATTTTAAAATTAATATTAATTAAATACGATTTTTAGCTAGGTACAAGTTGCTTTGAAGTTTGAATTTCGAATTTGAATTAACTTTGAATTTTGAAACTATCATCTAAATTTCAATAAATTCCTATTTTTTAAGGGTTTAATACACATACTAATAATTTTTAAATTTTTGATAAAATACCATTTTCTGCAAAATAGTTACATATCATAATAATCATCGTTCATGTGTTTTAGGCTGGATAATTAGTTTATTTTATACAATATAGCAATGTACCTTAACCCTTTTTGTCGATTATAATATTGATTAATGTATTTCAATCGTTGTATTGGTATGCGAAGTTAGAAAATTTCACTTGAACATAAATAAAGACTTGTTATTTACTACTTACTTTAATTTAAAGAAATATATTAGGTTTTTATCTTAAAATAGTTATTCTTCTTTATGTTTTTTATGTTATTTTATATTTTTCAACTAGTTTATCAGATAATTTTTACCAAACATTATTTTTTATCATAAACAAGTAGTAGTTAGATTCTCAGCTAGCAGTTAACTTTTTAGCTAATTTATCAAACGTAACTTTAGATCATCGTAGTAGTAAAATGTAAATGATGTTTATTAATTATATCAAGCTAGTTTTTTCAATTACATTTCAAACCAGTGCAACTTGATATTCTTTCAAAAATGAATCCAGAACTAACATATTAACAATTATTTTATGTATTTTTAATCATTTATAGTTTAGAATTGAATACACATTATATATATATATATATATATATATATATATATATATATATATATATATATATATATATATATATTAATTCACAAACGGGTTGGTGAACAGGAACTTTTCGTAATTTAGAATTTTGCCACATGATTACTCCTTTTTACATATCTGCCACATTAATTTTTGCTTTACACGGTTCTAACCCCTGTTCTTTAACTGATTTAACACATTGGACACACCCACCGCCTTTATCTTTCCTTTTTTATTTGTTTTTCCCACGTAAGGTCAAACGTTCCTTCACCATTCGTCAAACCTTCCTGCTGCTTCTCAACTCTTCTTCCTTTTTCTGTCGATCACTTTCAGACGAAATTACAAGAAGCTTCGCATTTTAACCTAATTAATCAAATGCGAACCACAAAATTTTCATTCCAGATGCGAACACAGTTTAGTTCTTGAACTCTAAACTTGCGAAATCAAAAATTCATATGTTGAACCCATATGCAAATATTAACCCAATTGACTTCAAATTGATTCACAGATGCAAACACTCGATTGTTTTACTTTCGCAAAATGAGCATCAACAACTCCACAATCGAGTTTTTAAATTCTTGCAAACAACAATTTCACAGTCCTTGACTTCGCGTTTTTCTTCACGAATCATCCCTCAATCATCAATCCAATTGCGAATCAAAACTCATATGTTCTTGCTTTATCGATTCATCGACTACACTCATACAAATGCGAACAATACTCAATTTCAAAATCGATTGAAACTACTGGTCCCAAAAAACTTACTATTAAAAAAATAAAAATAAGAACAACATCCGATACTACGTAAACAACTCTCTAACAATTCCACCACGTGCTCCTCTCACTCATTGCTTACATTCGAGAAGTAGCAGATCTTATTGAAGCAGCTCAGACGAAATTACAAGAAGCTTCGCATTTTAACCTAATTAATCAAATGCGAACCACAAAATTTTCATTCCAGATGCGAACACAGTTTAGTTCTTGAACTCTAAACTTGCGAAATCAAAAATTCATATGTTGAACCCATATGCGAATATTAACCCAATTGACTTCAAATTGATTCACAGATGCAAACACTCGATTGTTTTACTTTCGCAAAATGAGCATCAACAACTCCACAATCGAGTTTTTAAATTCTTGCAAACAACAATTTCACAGTCCTTGACTTCGCGTTTTTCTTCACGAATCATCCCTCAATCATCAATCCAATTGCGAATCAAAACTCATATGTTCTTGCTTTATCGATTCATCGACTACACTCATACAAATGCGAACAATACTCAATTTCAAAATCGATTGAAACTACTGGTCCCAAAAAACTTACTATTAAAAAAAAAAAATAATAAGAACAACATCCGATACTACGTAAACAACTCTCTACTACCATTATATATACATTACTATTGTGCCACAGTTGAGCGTTTCTGTCCAATCGCTACATAGACAATTCGTCAAACCTTCCTGCTACTTCTCAACTCTTCTTCCTTTTTCTGTCGATCACTTTCAGACGAAATTACAAGAAGCTTCGCATTTTAACCTAATTAATCAAATGCGAACCACAAAATTTTCATTCCAGATGCGAACACAGTTTAGTTCTTGAACTCTAAACTTGCGAAATCAAAAATTCATATGTTGAACCCATATGCGAATATTAACCCAATTGACTTCAAATTGATTCACAGATGCAAACACTCGATTGTTTTACTTTCGCAAAATGAGCATCAACAACTCCACAATCGAGTTTTTAAATTCTTGCAAACAACAATTTCACAGTCCTTGACTTCGCGTTTTTCTTCACGAATCATCCCTCAATCATCAATCCAATTGCGAATCAAAACTCATATGTTCTTGCTTTATCGATTCATCGACTACACTCATACAAATGCGAACAATACTCAATTTCAAAATCGATTGAAACTACTGGTCCCAAAAAACTTACTATTAAAAAAAATAAAAATAAGAACAACATCCGATACTACGTAAACAACTCTCTAACAATTCCACCACGCTCATTGCTTACATTCGAAAAGTAGCAGATCTTATTGAAACAGCTCAGACGAAATTACAAGAAGCTTCGCATTTTAACCTAATTAATCAAATGCGAACCACAAAATTTTCATTCCAGATGCGAACACAGTTTAGTTCTTGAACTCTAAACTTGCGAAATCAAAAATTCATATGTTGAACCCATATGCGAATATTAACCCAATTGACTTCAAATTGATTCACAGATGCAAACACTCGATTGTTTTACTTTCGCAAAATGAGCATCAACAACTCCACAATCGAGTTTTTAAATTCTTGCAAACAACAATTTCACAGTCCTTGACTTCGCGTTTTTCTTCACGAATCATCCCTCAATCATCAATCCAATTGCGAATCAAAACTCATATGTTCTTGCTTTATCGATTCATCGACTACACTCATACAAATGCAAACAATACTCAATTTCAAAATCGATTGAAACTACTGGTCCCAAAAAACTTACTATTAAAAAAAAATAAAAATAAGAACAACATCCGATACTACATAAACAACTCTCTACTACCATTATATATACATTACTATAAAAAAAACTCAACTTCAACCCCAATAGTGTTAATAACAAATATTTTAATCATATACACACCTACACAAATATAGGCTGCATTACTAATACCACCAAAACAGGCCACCTCACACCCTAAATACAATTGCATGCAATGACTTATCTAACCTACTATAACAGCAATGCCACCCACAGAAATTTAGATACACACACGTCATTGATTAACCACACCCATAACATCCCCCCCCCCCCCCTTTCACTCTTTTCATAAATTCTATAAAAAGCCAACAACTGAAACACGTACAATAGGCATATTAAAAGATGAACAACCAACAATTCCACCACGTGCTCCTCTTACTCATTGCTTACATTCGAGAAGTAGCAGATCTTATTGAAGCAGCTCAGACGAAATTACAAGAAGGCTTCACCATGGATGAAACCTCTCACACCTGTCTCTCGACAGATGGTGACAACCCCATCTCCAGAATCCTGAAAACATTCCTGCAAGATACCAAAGAGGAGGACCAGTCCATGGAAGACAACATCTCCTTCATGCTTGGATCAATTCATAAACGAATTGGAAAATACAAACGCACAATCAAAGATACAACTGATGACTAAACGATGGCGTTGTCTTTATGTTTCCCTATGTTTATTTCCTTTACGTTTATGTTGCGTTCATTCCTATCCTTTAGTGTTATCATGTAAAATACCTTCCATATGGGTATATAAATAAATATTATATTACAAACCAACGTACCTTACATAAGCAGTTAACCCACAACCCTCCAATCCACATAACGTCAAACTATCCATTGACAATTTCCACATAAATATTTATCATCATTTAAATGCAACACAGCGCCAAAGGTGCACACTTGATTCCTGCTAGTTTAACTATTAAGTAACATATTAGTTAGTTATTTAAATAACAGAATATAGAATCTTATAAGAAAAGGTTCCACTTATTAATTTAGTAAAATATTATTAAAAAAAAAAAAAAAAAAAAAAAAAAAAAAAAAAAAAAACCCTTAAACATGGTATTTATACCCAATTTGTATAATATTTACATATTATATACACTTTGATAAAGACCATTAAAAAATTGGTGTCGTTGCTCTTATAAATAATAATTCTAGATCCTAGAACTTAAACCTACATTATATAGTAATCAACTTGCATTTGTGCAGCTTAATTTAATCAAAAACGTTTATATCAACAAAGTTATGCTTTGTTTGAACTTTATCAATGACCATCATGACTGCCACCTGGAATTATTGATCATGGAGATCTTCATATTTCCATGGGACATACCTCCATCTTCTAGGGACGAATGATAAAGCATATTGAAATATATGCAAGAGCGCTTTTTAGATAAAGAAATGGTATCGAGTGTTTTGCGACATGAAATATTGAACTTTTTATGGGGTCGGTCTACATCTTTTAGACTTGTCTTTGTATGTTTTTCAAACTTTTCTTTACAAAAAAAGGGTTAGGAACCACTTTTACTGGTGTCTTCATCCCACTTATTTCTCGAGAGATTCTAATCATATAGAAAACAAAATTTCACAATTATAACTACCTAAAATTTTCAAAGATATAATAGTCTAATAGGGGGAATACAATACGATAATTGGGGGAAAAAATCAAAATAAAAAAAAAATGTACTATATTGTAATAGAAATAAATGGAGTGGGGTGCTATAATAAATTACACAAGTAGATGAAAGTACATAGCTCTTTCTTGCATTTAGTCCTATTAAATAATAAGCAATAGCATAACAAACAACCACGCGAAGACACGTTCATGTATAAACTTACACGGATGTAACAAGCAAGTGTAGTATGAAAGAACCCCTTCATGTAGAATAACAATACACATGATACATATATACATACATGATCAATCTACAATGATGAAATTATCAACTTAATTTTTATTTGTTTTACTTTTACACCATATTAGACAAATTAATATATTTTCTATACTATAGGGATCAGAATGTAATTATATGTTATATTTATATCCCTCCTTGTACAACACATCTTAAGTAATACAATATTCTGATTACCAAAGATTATTTTGGTATCAGAGCCTCTTCTTGTTAATCAAGAAGACCAAAGTTAATCAATTTTCTCCATTATATTGAATCCATAAGCATGCAACATTTCGAGTGCTGCAAAATCATAAGTAAAAAGTAAGCAACATAACCTAGTCTTTTTTTCATTGAATAAAATTTACCACAAGTGAATTGACAATTACCTGGCTCATAAACTTCCGCATCAATAGGTCTTAAGACACCCGTACTTGTAATTTTTCCCGCAAGTAAAAGCTGTAGAATCAAAGCTATATAGTTACACTTTATACCAAACACAAAACTTTTGAGGTAAAAAAAAAAAAATTACTAAAGCAAAAAAGTAAATATACCAAAGCACCAATTGCTACAGGAATCCCAACTGTTAAGGCCATGCCACTTATTGTTTTCCCATTCTGAGTCCTCCCAAATTCCAATAAGGTTGCCTCATGTTTTTCTGTAGGGCGACCATTTGGGAATTCCAGCACTAGTTCATGATACAAAAGAACCATGTCCTGAAATATATTTTATATACTTTATTAATAAAAATCACCCACATTCAAGATATAATTTCATTTTAATAAACTATCAGTTACCTGTTCTGTGGTGTTATAGGCTAATCTTTCTTCCATCCGAAGGCATGTCACATCAAATGCACTTTGGCAAGATGAAGGTACCTCTGTTTCCTCATAAAATCCCAAAAACCTAAAACCCATGAAAAGATTTCCATTTTTTTAATAATTATATATATAAAAAAACATGCTAATATAATATCAGACAGTTTATGGCTTTATGCTTACATAATTGCTTTAGCTGTCCTGAATGCTGTTCCATTCTCTTTGCAGAATCCAAGTTCTATTATCTTTTCTGTAATAAGCTTATCTGGCTTCACAGATTCATCAAAACTCCTGCTTTCGATCTTCAAAAGTTCAAATAGAAATGTTCTATACGTAGCTCTATCTTTATTTTCATTTGTAAGAATCAAACTAACTTCACTTTCAAAGAAACCAATTCTTGCAAGTGTACCCATTATTTCACCAAACCCTGTGAACACAAGTTTCACATTACACCCTCTGGAGCCCAAAACTTCTATATATTCCCAATTTCCAAAAAAAAAAAAAATGTCAGCCTAAGTCTCAAAAACTACCTTCATAACGAAGAGTGCCACGAAAAATGGTCAATGCTTCATTTTGTATTCCATATAAATCTCCATAAGTTAAGGAGTTGCGATTAGGTAGGACCTCAAGTGCAAAAGCTGGAAAATCATGCATACGAAATTTTGTAGCTGAATCATATAGATCATCCCCTGAGATTTTGCACCAATTATAAATTATTAAAAGAAATAAGCAAGTAACATCATAAGTGTCAGACTTGATTTTTCAATGTTAGCAAGAAGAATAAGTAAATTTCATTTTTGGTCCCTGAGTATAGCTGATTTTTGGAATTTTGATCCCAAAAAGTTATCTTGCAGTTGTGGTCCCAAAAAGTACTCTTACAGTTTTGGTCTTTATTTTAGGTTCTTGTACCGTTTTTAGTCCTTGTTCCAAGTAAAATGACTAGTTTTAGTCCCTGGGTGTAGCTGATTTTTGCAATTTTGGTCCCAATATAGACATTTTACTTGGAATGCAGACCAAAAACATTACAAAAACCTCAAATAAGGGTCAAAATTGCGAGAGAATAACCAAAGCTGAAAAAACAAATCAGCTAGACTCAGGGACCAAAAACGTAATTTACTTAAAAACAAAATTTCCAAGGTGCATTTATGTAGAATTGGGGTGTTCTTCATCTAGGGTTCACAGGGTTTAGGGTTTCCTACCATCGACATGTACAATTCCTCCATCTTTTTTGTAGGTGGCAGGATTGCGTCCAGCTCGTATAGCTCCAGCTGGATTCCAGCTGAAAGAGTTTTGTAACAAATAAAATGTTTATTTTCAATAGTTAATATTGGCATCAAAATGATTCATAGAGGATTAGAAGCTACCTGAACTTGTAAGCTAATGGATTATTTGCTGCAGCAGGGGATGGAATACCTCCACAATTGGAAACAAAAGACCTGATTTTCCCTCCTTGAGCATGTGCTTCATCGATCATCTTCATTGCCATCATATGATCTGAAGGGCATAAAAGTCATTATGCAATGATAAACACCAACATGCTTAGAAGAAGGAGAAAGAAAAATCACCTATTCCAGGATCCAACCCCATTTCACCAAGAATTGTAATGCCACAATCTTTGGCTGCTTCATGTAGCTTGTAAATTGAATCATTAATGTAGCTAGCAGTCACAAGATGTTTTTTAAGCTGCATTAAAAATAATTGTTCTTTAACAAAACAAGAAACCAAAAAACCATAATAATATTTATACAAATAACCATAGGATAGAGCAATACCTCAATGCAGACATTAGCTATGGTAGAATGAAAACTTGGAGGCAATAGACTGATAACAATATCAACCTGCATGATGTACTTATAGAGACTATCATGATCCATCACATCCAGCTGGCATGCAATTGCATAGGGTATACCTTCAGTTATCTGCATTCAAATAATCACTCACAATGGCAAATTGGTAATTTAACAGTACCAAAAACTTCATTATACCTCCTCTGCATCCTTAAGAAAAAGTGATGCAACAATAACTTGAATACTATTCTGCTCTCCAAATTCACCTATTCTACATGATTTTAACCATTCTGGAGACGAATCACTTCCAATTGATGCCAAGAGTTCAACAGCAGGTTGACAAACACGCCCTGCACCTAACACAAGAACCGTGTTCTTTTTTGAACCATATCCTAATTTGACAAAACTATCCTTCACTTCACCAACTTTCAGTGCAAACATGTTTGCTTTTCCATTGGGAATTCCATGACCTTCTTTAGGTTTTGCTATAGAAGTCAAAGTATCAACTATTTTATCAAGAACAACACTATCATCTGCACCAACCTGGTAACAATGACATTGAAATGTCAACACATCACAAGAAAGATTATGTGATATGTCACACCTACACACACACTTACTTCGAGTTCTGAGTAAGATGTAGAGTCTGTGCATTGACCAACCTGACATTTGACCAGGTGAAAAGAGCCACCAGCAGCTTCGATTATATCCAAGGCTTCATTGATCAGAAACTTGTCAAACAGATGACCACTAAGAGAAACCTGTAGAAGTCAAACCATCAATAATTATAAAGTCAAAAAGATAAAATGATAATGAAGCATGATAGATGGGAACAAACCAGCATAGTGTATCTATTCTTATAAGATCCAAAGTTGGCAACATCCTCAGACACTTCTCTGTAAATAAATATGGGTAAAGTTTTTTTAATAAAGCAAACATGATAGCGAATGAAAACATATTTGTGAAAAACTTACTGTGAGTTCCTCATTCGGGGAATATATTCGTATAAGTGAGTGAGAGCTCCTTTATGTACTATACAAGCTCTCTTTAAGTGAACAGGTAGATCTTCTAGATCTTTTGAAGAAGCTAAACTCCCAATAAAATAGGAAAGTACATCACCAAAATGTTGTGAAGCCTTTATGACAGATGCTACCATGTTAGATGCCAAGATACCAGAAAAAAAAACATTTAACTAGAAAAAAGACTAGTAAGGTAAAAGTTCACAGCACCTCTTTGGCAAACTCAGTTGGGAGAATGTCAACAGCTAAACAAATTACACCATCGCCCTCCATGTCATCATGATACGAGTCACCAGATGGATCATATCTGGTAGCCAAAAATGTGTATTACTATCAAGGGGGGAAAAGGTGAAGTTTCACAATATAAGTTGAAGAGAAATAGTTATAGACATACCTGAAAAGAGGTGAATCGATTGATGTGGATTTGTTTACAAATTCTATGGATCCTCCTATATCACAAGTGATATCACAAATCCCAACAAGTGGGCAGCCTTTACGTGTTAAATCTTGTAGTTGCTTGGTGGTCAATAAGCGAGGGTATCTTTTCTCCCAATACATGCAATTAACTGCTCAAGGCATATAACACCATTTAAGTATTTGACACATAGAGCATGATAAATACTAATTAGATCAAATAATTGAAGGAACTAAACTAATTCCATAATAGTGGATGTTATCCAATCAGAAAAAGGTATTGTAATGTGGATAGTGTGGTAGTGGGTAGCCTCCAATAAAAAAATTGGTTGGTGGATGATATCCACTATGTGGAAAGTGGGATGTTTAACACAACACTAATTGCCTCCAAATTAACAAGAATGTCTATGCAAGTGTTAAGACTAATTTTCATGTAAATGGAGAAATGCCTCTATGCACCAAGGAAATGTGACCTTAGTTTTAGTAACAAAAACAAAAATAACTGGAATGAAACGAATGTACTTCAAAAGATGTTTACATACCTATAACAGATGCATATGGAGCAACCTTCTCATGAAAAATTGGTCTGTAGCGCTCAGGATGTGCATAGTAATTAACCTGGAATGGAAATTCTGGTAGTCAGCATACATTGCATAAAGGAATCATACAGGTCAAATATAATGTTGTTCTTATAGCAACACAAAAAACCAAAACTCTCCCAAAATTTTATAAAAAGTAACAATAACATTAAGCAAATGGAAACATATTCAAGCAATATAATGATAGTTGATACCAATGTGAGGCAAGAAGAAGGAACTTAAAAAATAATGCATAAAACCAATGTTACGTACTTTATCAAAAACTTCATTGGGATCATTGTGTTCAACCATGTCTTCACTAGTCACAATACAGCCATAAACTTGGAAAGCCCGTTTAGGTTGACAAAGATCCACGCCCTAAGCAACATGAGTAAATACTAACACAATAAGTCAAATGTATCTTATCCTTCCTTAACACAATGTGCATTTTACATTTTGAAGAGAAAAATTAGCAACAGCTTGTGACAATTGGACATAGTAGGCTGAGTTTCTTCCTTATTTTCCATGTCACACAGAAACATATAAGAAAAGAGATGATAAATAAGGTCAATATTACCTTGTCAAATAGTTTTGGAAGTTTACTTGAATCCACAAATGTATGAGGAAGAAGCTTGAATATTTCTTGTGCTCCAAGAGAAACTAAAACGTGAATCAAAAACTAAATTACCAAGACATCTAAAGTCCTTGATAAGATTCTATTATAGGAAAGAAGCTAGAACTAAGTTAACATTGTGTACAAATAGACAAAATAATGCAT